AGGAACGCCTTGATTTGGGACCCGTTGCTACTGTCGGCTTCCCACGCGTAGATCTTGACAGCGCTCTGCCACGTCGGGCAGTTGTAGCGCTCGCCGGCCGGGATGAGCAGTGTCTTGCGGTAGTACAGCGTCGGGAACGGCGTCGTGAAGTACGTGAAGACAATGACGAGGACGTCGTGGCGCGTGTCGTTGCGGATCTTGATGCCCATGCTTGTGGTGGTGGTGGTTGTTGCTTTCGGTGGCCAATTCGGAAATGAGGTTTGGCGATGAGGGCGCAGACGATGTGCAAAGATCTGAATGCAGTGGATGGGCCTTCTTGCAGAAGAGGCAGTTGAGGAAGAGCGATGATAGGTGAGACGGAATGATGCACTCTCATGAATCCGTCGCACTTGACGGTTTGCTGACCTCGACTTGAATTATAAAGCCAGCATGCGCCAACACTTTTTTTAACGTCGGTCAAGGACCCTACTAATACTAGGATGACTCGAAAGGGCGATCCATCATTGAGTTGTGTACTCGAGATTCCCTTGGGGAGGATCGCGTTTCACAAAAACTACGCGCAGTGCGTTTGGACGACATTTTTGCCCAAATCTGAGCTCTCAAACGACTTTAATACAGTGTATCACGCAGCAGAGGCAGTGCAGCGCCAGGATTGTTGTACGTGGTTGTGGCCCTGCACCAGCCACAGTATCCAAGTTATCGCAGTGGCAACACCGTCATAGCCAGACGGCAGATCTCGAGAGCGGTGACTGGATTCTTGTCTCGATGATTCACGTTATTGTGGTCGCATTGCAAAGGAAGACGATACACTCCATACAGACACGCCATCACCATGCGCCATCACTATTAATAACACTCCATTAACGCCGGGGACCTGTACAACAGTCGATCGCGTGTGTCAGAAAACATGTGGTTTTGGCCAACGAGCACGCGCAGCGAGCGAGTGCAACCGTGCAACTCATGCATCTCTAGCACGCCAAGTATCATTCAATATTGACCAAGTGCTGTATGGGAGTGCGGTTATGTCGCCCAGTACAATCTGCGAAAGCCTTGCTTATGCCAAGGGACCAAGGCCAAGGTGCGTTCGTACAGGAACAATACTCGAGGTATCGGACACTAAAATACGTCGCACTCGAATGAGGAGGAGCTCGCAGCGGTTGTCTCGGCGCGTACACTTGGTGCACTCCATTTGGGTTATGATTCGTCGTTTGTCTCGGACCCACTGAATCTGGAATTAAATAAAAAGCGAAAGCGAGGCGTTGCGATCAGTTGCGCTCGTTCGCTGCACGTGCTCGTTGGCCACAAACACATGTTTTCTGACACACTGGCCAGTCTATGGCGATGACAAGTGTATCAGAAGGACCTTTTGCCCGTCAAAAACTCGTACTATAAGCGTACACTTCAGGAGTACGATCGACGCTACATAGTGTACAGCGCAGGCACCGCCGCTCTTTTAGTAGCTGTGCTGCCTCTGGTGTGCGTTCGTGCCGTAGTCGTCCATTGCCGGACTGGAAGTATAGTCCCCAAACAAAAGTGCATCGATTGGGACCCTCGAATCCTGCGATGTGGTACATATGTTTGTAACGCTAAACATGGAATTGAGGGGTTTACAAACCGTCCAGTGCGACGGATTCTTGACATGACTCCATCGCACCTGTAGTTATCATCGGCCGCAGCTCTTCCTCAACCGACGCGTCGGCGAGAAGGCACATCCATTGGATTCATATCCTTGAACATCGTCGGCGTTGTCGAACGCATTTCCGAATTGGCCACCGAAAGCAACGACCACAAGCATGGGCATCAAGATCCGCAACGACACACACCACGACATCTTTGTCGTAGTCTTTACGTACATTCCAATGCCGCACCCATCCCTCGTTTACCGCAAGACGCTGCTCATCCCGTCCGGCGAGCGCTTCAACTGCCCGACGTGGCAGAGTGCCGTCAAGATCATGGCGTGGGAAGCCCCCGTGCACGACTGCGCAATCTCGGAAGAAATGCGTCAGAACCTCTCAGACCAAATGGCGGCGGTCAACGTCGGACGCCTCCTCCTCGTACCCATTGGCGGTGAACTCCTCAGCATGGCGAGCACGGCCGCCGACATCCTCATCGACGGCGTCATGGATTCGTTCATCCACGATCTCCTCGAGCTTGCCATCGACGAAGTCATTGCGCGACTCGAGAATGAGATGGAGCGCGGTCTGGCCCAAGAGGTGCGGGCACGGCAGCTCGCCGCGGCCCGCCTCGCCCGCGAAAGCACCCGTGGGGTCCCCATGGCCAAGAAGACGTTCTTCTTGACATACAACGCGCTCTTCCTCCGGCGTCAGTTTTCCATCCACCACAATCACGCCGACCAGCTCAAGATCAACGGCGCGGGCATGTCGTGGTTTGACTAATTTGTGTTAACGACACTAGTGTTTGACTCTTACGTCTTTTATCGTACTCGAATGACCGCTGTGGCATCCAACCGACACCGACAAATCACTTTGTCGTGCGTACCGCGCTCGAATATTTGCAGATAGCACGCTGCAATGATGTCGCAATGCAACCAAGCACATGTCGTCGTGGGAAGCCAGCGCCCCGCCCCGCTCGATCGCCGCCTCACCAAGCGTATAGTCGCTCGTGCAGTCGCTCAATCCTAACCTACTAGTATCCCGAAGCGGTGGATTTTGGTGGCTCTGGTAGACAGGCGGCGTGATGAACAGCACTCTTGACCATCTCGTTGGCGTAAAAAGCACCTTGACTTAAGACGTCTCTGTGATCGAGTCGCCGCGCGATAGAGCACTCAAAGCATCAGCGCTCGTGCTTCGTAGCTTTACGTAAAATGGAAAAATCAAGCGTGTAAAAAGCGTGCACCGTCGCCTGCTGCACTAATAAATCGAGGACGACCCTGGATCTGACGGTAAAATGCATCCAACACAGTGGCATGCGCAAGACACACATGTACAATTAGGCAAGACTCCTTGCATTCTGGATCTGGAGCGCCGCATAGTCTTCGTGGAGCTT